TAATGTGACAGACCCATTAACTAAGATACTCAGACAGAAGGTGTTTGAGAAACACGTGGAAAGTGTGGGACTCCGACTTGTACCAGATTGGACCTAAGTGCAAGTGGGAGCTGTTGGACAGTTTTTGTATGCCCTTAGCTTCAATCAGTTTTGATGTACTTTTGATATTTAATGTAAATAAATGAAGTACATGTTTGATTCATGTTGTGTGGTATACTTTTGTGTAAGACCCTAAAACTGGACACTTAATGAGACTTGTGTTAGTTTTAAATGTTCACAGCCGTTGGATAAGTCTGGGGAGATTTATCCTGCCAAGGCTGACACTGGTGTGTTGCCAACTGTTGGGGTGGCTTGTCTCAGTTGCCAAGGTGAGACCCAAGGCACACGTAGTGTAGGATTACTTGAACCCTTGAACCGGACTAGATTTCCAGTATTGCCCTGGACCTTGGAGATTGATGGGTAAAACTGAAAAGTTACACCTGACCCCTAGACCCGATTATGGAACTGCACTAGGTGTCGGATTGGGCTGTCTTTGATATGGCAATCAGTGAGATCCTTAGCGGGGGTCAAAACCTGGGTATGTTGGGACAGTTTGAGAATTCATCTGAGTGGATGATCATAGTGACGGAATCAGCCCCTTTGTCGGACAAAGGTAATGATCGGGGATGCACTCTCTCTGATGGAAACCAAACTGCTGGCAGTTCATTTCAATCATTGGAAATTTGTTTTGCAAAATTTATATATGATATATACCTAAGTATGGTTTCAAAATATTTGCAAATGGTTTTAATTCCCGGGATCCATGTAAGTAGAGAGTGCATCACTGTTCCTTGCAGGCGAGGGAGAGGTTCTCTCTTGTCGGGCAGTGTTTGATCATTATGGGCAGAGAGGCTAAGTGTAAGGCCATTTGGGATAATACCTGATGGGCTATCTTTGCACCTGCCCACAGTCCCTAGGTTTTTAAAAGATGTCTTGGCCCAGGGACCACTTAGTGTATGTGTTGGGCCCATAGGGTCCATGCAATGGGCTCAAGGGGTTCACTGGGCCCACCAGTGAATTCGGCTAGGCCTTGTAACAGAGGCTGGGCCAAACCCATGTGGATGGTGTGTAGATGAATGCTTGGGTCCCACACCATACAAAGAAGCCCAATTGGACAGCAGTTTGGAAGACATTTTAGCACATAACCTTATTGGGCCTAAAGCCCATTTCGACCTGGGCTGATTTGATCAGTCATTATTAAGGGGCAGATTTGAGATTAGGATGAGCCCAAAATCTTATCTAATCTACAGATAAGATTAAGAAGAGTTCTGATCCAAATATAGATTTGGATAAGGGCAACTCCTGATATGATCAGGAGATTTTTCTTAATCATTAAGCAACTGGAGGAAACCTTATTCGAATTACATGAATTCGAACCCTAGGGAACACACAACACACCCTGCAATTTTGAGATAGGATCTCAGAAACCCTGGAGAAGAAAATCAGTTCACAATCTTCTTCTCTAGCTCCCTCCTGTTGCAGCCACCACCATCTATTGCAGTTCGATTTCTCTATCAGAGAAAGATCAAGAAAAGTTCTTGATATCAGTCTTTGCTGCAAGGCTTATTCAGTTCGGTGCTCATTACTTCCAAAGGATTCTTGTGAAGGATTCAGTGTGTAGGATGCACTTTGCTGGTTCTGTTCCATAGTTGCTGTGTCATCTTCGGCAGGAACGGATCTTGGTGTCTTTTTTGGGTGTGAACACCAACTTTGAGAGATATTATTTCTCTGGATTAGGTATAATCACTCCCTTCTCTTTTGGTTCAAATCTGGTTCGGTTCTGGTTCAAGTAGGATCATTGAATTTTGATTCTAAAATCAGGGAATGCGATTCCCAGTTGGAAGGTAGGTAGAAAATTTTTGAAATTCATCCACCCATTCCACAACCTTTTGGCGTCCATACAATGGATTCTACCATTACTTTCATTGGTTTGGATCGGTTTCATCATTGAGGGGTTTTGATCCACTTTTCAATTCAGCAGAACTCTACAGTTGCCTTTTTTTGGACATTAGCAGAAAGGTACTCTTCTTTTTTGTCTCTGGTTCAAATTTCTTTTGGTTTCTGGAAGTGTGTGTGGTTGCTTTTTGTCTTTTAATGGCATCATAAAGGATGGATATTGTTCCTATTAAGTTCAACGGTACGAACTACGCAGGGTCTTTGGGGATTCCTAGATGGATCTGTGTTTAAACCTGATGACTCTAACATTAAGGGACTTAATCAGTGGAAGATCAACAGTGCAAAAATTGCATCTTGGGTTCTAGGCTAAGCCGAAACTGTTATTTCTATCCCTATGAGAGGGTATAGGACAGCCTATGAGGTGTATCAATATCTTGAGAAAGTTTATCGGAAATTGAATACCTCTAGATAGTATCAAATTGAGGTTGACATTTTTTCTTACTATCAGGGAGATAGAAAGGTCTAGGAATACTATGCCGGGTTCATTAACCTTTGGGCAGAATATGAGTTAGTTCACATGGGAGATGATCCTTTAGACTGTTGTGTTAAATACATGAAGGAACACTTTGATAGGAGAAAAATTTTGCATTTCCTAATGCATCTAAGGCTAGAATTTGAAGTCGTCCGATCTAATATCCTAAGTCAAGGAACACTTCTTGACTTAGATACTATTCTTGGGGAGATTTTGAGTGCAGAAACTAGGTTGACTACTCAAACTGCACTGGCTGGAATGAAGGATTCTAACATTGATGTTGTCTTCTTGGCAACTAAACCAAAGGGGAAGAAGAATTTCTCTAAGATACAGTGTTATGAATGTAAGGAGTATGGGTATAGTGTCTCCCATTGTAAGAAGGAAAACACATGCACCTACTGCAAGCAGGTCGGCCACATTATCACTTAATGTCCTACCCGACCTCAAAAAGGTAGTGGTCCAAATCAGAAGAAAGGGAACTACAAGGCCTATCAGACTGCTGTAGATGGTTTAGATACTTCCTCCTCTATCACTTTTGTAGCTATCTAAAATGACACCTCCAATGGCATGTCTAAAGAAAGGATTCAACAGCTCATGTCCTCGGTTATCTCCTCGGCTCATGTCCTCTAATCACACGACAGGGGCTACTCTTGGTCAGTATCCCAAACCCCATCTTTCCAATAGACATATTATCACTACAAATGGTGAGAAAGATGACATACTTCATTGTGATGCTTTATATTTATCTACCTCTAAATCATCTCCGTTTCATTTATCCAAAACTCTAATTGTACTAAAACTCACCACCAATTTGATTTTTGTTGGCCAACTTATAGAGGAAGGTAAAAATGTCTCATTTACCTCTGATGGTTGTTTGATACAGGACCGACAAACTAGGTAGTTGAAGGGGAAGGGGCATAGACTGGGAAGACTTTTTGCCTTGGAATTTGAGAAGAATAAGATTGCTTCTGCTTCTACTTCTTGTTTTCTTTCTATCACTTCTAGTTCTGGGTCTTTTAATTGTAATAATGATTGGCATTTGTGGCATAAACACCTTGGCCATTCTTTTTCTCTAAGAAACTTAATCAGCTATTTGCTTCTGATAGTTTACATGTTTCTACTATTTCTTTTAAGAATGTGAATAAAGATTGAATTACTTGTGATTTATGTAAGTCATATTTTACCCTTTTCTTTTTATTCTGAGCATGCAACCGTTCCTTTTCATTTAATACATAGTGATGTCAGGTCATCTCTAGTTGTTTCACGACTGAGATATAAGTACTTTGTTACCTTTTATTGATGATTGCACTTATTTCACTTGGACTTATTTTCTTTGAAAGAAATCTGAAGTGTACACTGTTTTTAAACACTTTCACACCTATGTAACTACCCAATTTGATTATCGAATATGTGTGCTAAGATCGGATTCAAGGGGAGAGTATATTGATGGGGATTTCCAAAATTACCTAAAACAACATGGAATTCAACCCCAAAAATCCTATTCGGGCACCCTACAACAAAATGGGGTAGTAGAAAGGAAGAATGGGCACATCTTGAGTGTAGTCATAACACTTTTACAAGATTCCCATGTACCCTCTTAGTTTTGAGTGGAGGCAGCCAATACTTTTGTGTATCTCATAAATCATCTTCCGTCATCTATTTTGAATAACTCTTCTCCTTTCAAATATCTCTTTCACAAACCCCTAGACCTATCCATGCTCAGGGTTTCTGGTTGTGCTTGTTTTGTCCACCTTCCACCCCATGAACGCACAAAGTTAACTACACAAGCAACTTTGTGTGCCTTTATGGGAAACAAATCTGAAAATAAGGGGTTCATTTTCTAAGATCCTTTGGTTCGTCGCCTTAGAATCTCTCGTAATGTAGTCTTTCTTGAAAGTGTGTCATTTTTTGAACATATTGTGAAATTCCCAACTCCTTCTATTTCCTTGTTGCATAGTTTTGATTCTACAGGTACCTCAGATATTCCATTGTCACCTCCATAGTAGCTTCAAACGTACTTCAGGAAGCAACGACTTTCTTCAGTCTCCATCCCCCTATTCCGTCTCCAGTTGTTGATCTGATCACTCCAGCTCCCTTAGTAAGTGTACCTGACCTTCTTCCTGAACCCACTTTACGCTGTTCCACTAGAATATCTCATCCACCAAACCGCTATGTTTATTCACCAGACCATAGCTCCTTTTCTGTTATTTTTTCTACCACAGACATTCCTAGATCTTACCAGTAGGCCATAGCAGAACCACACTGGAAAGATACCATGGATTTTGAGATTCGAGCCCTTCTTGAGAATGACACCTGGGACCTGGTTCAAGCTCCACCTAAAACATCTCTCACAGGAAGTCGATGAGTCTATTATGTGAAACTGAAATATGATGGGAGCCTAGACAGATATAAAGCCAAACTTGTTGCATAGGGCTACAAATAGGAATATGGGATAGACTATGAGGAGACTTTTCCTCCTGTAGCTAAAATGACCATTGTACGTCTTTTGATGGCTATATCTACAACTAAATAGTGGACAATCCATCTGATGGATGTCAAGAATGCTTTTCTTCATGGGGAGTTGAAAGAGACAGTCTATATGAAGCCCCCTCCGGGATATTGTACAGACCCACAACTTGTTTGTCATTTGAAGAAGTCACTTTATGGCCTGAAGCAAGCTCTTAGGGCCTGGTTTGAGAAGTTTAGATCCGTCATCACTGATGCTGGCTTTACCCAGAGTCCTTTCGACTATTCCTTATTCATCTTAAGGAGGAAGCAGGGAGTAATGATGTTACTCCTTTATGTTGATATACTCATTATAGGGGATGGTACAAAAGGAATTTCTAGGCTACAACAGTTATTCAGTGAGTCCTTTAAGATGAAGGACGTGGGGCCTTTGACATATTTCTTAGGACTTGAAGTGAGTAGAAATTCTCGAGGCTACTTTGTTAATCAACAGAAGTATGTGGCTGATCTTGTTAAACTGACAAATCTTGGTGATTCTAAGATTGTGGACACTCCACTAGAATTGAACCTGAAACTCAGCAAAGATGATGGCTCTCCTCTTGAAGATCCTACCGTTTATCGTCAGCTAGTGGGCAGTTTAATTTGTCTCACCATAGCTTGGCCAGACATATCTTATGTAGTTCAAATAGTAAGCCAGTTTGTGTCTTCTCCAAGACAACCACATTTATCTACAGTTCATTGGATTAGAAGATATGTGCGAGGCACACTGTTAGATTGGATATTCTTCTCCTCATCATCTCCTATTCATCTTATAGCCTATGGGGATGCTGATTGGGCTGGATGCCCTAACACCCGACGGTCCACTACTGGCTGGTGTGTCTTCCTAGGCAACTCTCTTATCTCATGGAAGTGCAGGAAATAAGTTACTATGTCCAAATCCTCCACTGAAGCTGAATACAGGGCTATGTCTTCTGTGTGTAGTAAGATCATATGGATTCGGGCTCTTCTATTTGAAATACTAAATGAGCCATCATTGTCTATCCCTCTGTATGCAGACAATATCAATGCAATAAAAATTGCATCCAACCCCATCTTCCATGAGAACACCAAACACATAGAAGTTGATTCCCACTTCATTTGCGATACAATATCTCTTCCTCATGTCTCTTCCAAGATCCAACTAGTAGACTTGTTGAGTAAGGCAATGACATGGGCTCGACATTTATTTCTAATGGACAAATTGATGCTTATTCCTTAGGTATTAATTTGAGGGGGAGTGTAGAGACAATGAAATCTAGTCGTAGGGCTATTTTTGTACTTTTACTTTTCTTTGTTGTATATCTATTCTTTGTATTATCTCTCTCTTGTACATTAAGGGCATATCTATACTTTTACAACTTAATATAAATATATCTTTTAGGGTGTTGATTGACACAAGGTGTCACACCCACCATTCAGTTGTACTCTCTTCTTTCTCTCTTTTTTGACTTTTGAACTGATTTTGACACATAGACAATAAAGCTAAGACTAGGACTGCTAAGGGTATATCATACCCAATTAGGAATCACCTTCCATAAAATTTACTTTCTTCTAGAAAATGTTACCAAATTTGCTTGGAGCGAAGCCATTCCCACTCAGATAATGTATTAATCCTTCTCCTTAAAGCTTTGAATTTGGGAATTTGTCCATGTTTTAGTAGACATCAGCTTTGCATCTTGAAATTTGTCTTGGTTTACTGGAAACTCTAACTGTTGAAATGTGGAGTTTATCAAATTAAAAATTATGGGTCATGGTCTAGAGAAGCTTCCATTTTCCATGTCAGGTTGTGCTGGAATTATACTTTCAAATTCAACATCTTTTAATAGATATGCCAATGAATTGTTTTAAATAGCAAGTTAAATGCTTTTATATAAGTTTACATAAGCTTTACATATGATAAAATAGTTTTATAAAACACAAATAAATGATCTTCAGAGGCGACCACGCATGCATCTAAATAAGAGCAACTAATACTTTTAGTGGCAATTACAAATGCTACTGTAAACTATAAAACATAACTAGGATTCTTAAAGCTACTTATAGAGGAAAATAAATTTGCCTTAATTTTAATTAAAATGCCTCTAAAAATGTACATTAGGTGGCATTTATACATGCCTCTATATAATGCTTTTAGTAACAATGCTTTAGAGACATGATTATGTGTCTCAATATCTTATTTTTGGAGGCATTTATTGGATGTACCTCTAATTATAAGTCAAGTGCCTCTATAACATTTAGAGGCAATCATCTGAATGCCTTTTATTCTTTTTAGAGACATTTTTTTTTTTGCTTTTAAGCTCCATTCACTTTTCGGTAAGTTATTTACCCGAGTAAATGCAGTTATTTGGGTAAGTTTCTCTTAGGAGACACTTACCCGGGTAAGTGCATTTACCCATGTTCTTTTATTTCTCATGTAAATAAGGCAATGACCATTTTAGCCATAAAAATCCTTTATTAAAAGGGGAATTTCTGTCCCATTCAAGTGTTGGCAACTTTCCCCTAGGTGGGAAAGTTATTTACCCACCTAGGAGATGGGTAAGTGATACCCAATAAAATAAACTTTCCCTACTCCCCACATAAATCTGTAAAAAGAACATGGGATTCTTGGTCAATGGGAACCAAAATCCCATTGACCAACTTTCTCCCCTCTCAAAATCCGAAAAAAGAACGCCCCCTTAGAGGCATTTTTTGTTGCCTCTATAGCTTATTTTTCTAGTAGTAAGAGATCATCGGAATTCTTAATTTTGATTTATTTTTAATCATCTATATTGATAATTCTCTAAACTAAACCTCTGATTCTTGATTTTGTTAGATTTTACATGATAATCTACACTTAGACATTGTTGGAACCTATAATTGATCTAATCATTTGTAGCAATAATTCTTTGGATCTTTGATCTTGAATTTAACCCTTGATAAGTCTTTAAGATCTACACTTGGAGACCATTAGAACTTTGGTTTTTGATTGATTTTAATAATCTACATCAGTGACTCTTCATTCTTGATTTCAATATTTATAGGTTGTATATGATTAACAACTTTTTTCGTTTTCTTTGGTATTCGGGGGTATGCACCATTAATAACTTCCCCTGACCCTTTTTTCCCCCAAAGTGCTGGTTGCGGGATTTATCAATTTATGCGAGGACTCTATCTAATATAATCCAGCTGCCTAACACTCTCTAAAACGTAAACGGTTGGAACCACTTATCTAAAAATAGCTTTTGGGCCCACTGAGAGTGGGACCACATTTATTTATAAGTGATTAAATAAGTCAGTAACCCAAGTATAAAGAGAGACATATGGTCAATTAAGCCTTACATCTTGTGTGATTTAGGGTTGAGATCATTTTGCGATTTTTCAAAACCAATAAAATATATCGAACACATATGCAACCAAATTAGACTTAACTGCATTCAATTTGGCCATTAGTGTCCAAAAGGATATTATAAGGATTAGAAACCCAACTACATGGGAGAAACCTAATCTTCTTTCTACTTTGGCACATCTCCCTTTGCTACTCATGGGTTAAACAATCATAAGAAATTTTGCTTTATGCAACTTAACAAGTTTTTCGCTTTACGAATAATATGGCGATTTGAGAACCTCTTGGCGTTCCAATATATGAAAGACGTAATTAATAATAAATAGGTTATATTATAAAGTTTTAGTATGAAGTATGTAAGGAGACATGACCAAATGGCATATATGGTCATTACTTTATAGTAGAGAATTTTTCTTGGATTTTAAAACAATAAAAGTTATTAACCACATAGATGCCCCAATTAGGCATATCTTCGAGCTATCTAACCAATTTCTTTAGGGTTAAGAATAGTCAATTATACCCTAAGTAATTGGTATCTTTATGGACTTGCGTATTCATATTGCCTCTTTAATCCTTATTACAAATTATTCTAATAATCAATTATACCCCATATTATTATGCATTAATGCCAGTCCGGATTTCCTAGTAACTCAATTCTACAATCCTCTCTACTAACTCAATAAAACAACGTCACCTGTATCTAAACATGCTTTAGAATTCTAACTTGTGCAAATAGTTAAAGACTGTTATTGTCCTTCTGTTAAATGATTTTTCTTAAAATTTTTGTTTTATTTTATTTTGTGCACGATTTCTTTGAAATTCCTCTCACTTTCTCCTTGCTGGTGTTGCCGGAATTTGCTATATTCACCGGACAATATGCTGATTAGGACGTTCCCATCTCAGATGCCCTTTGAACCTCTCAAAACCCTTCAAATATAAGTCAAAACCCAGTAATAAGATTATGCTTAGGGAGGCAGCAAAGCCTGTCGTGTTGCAACGAAATAGTCGACGGAATTTTGCTCCATTCTTGTAGGCTAGTATGGCCATGCCTGCTTGATGCGAGCTTGGATTGGGGGTGAGAGGATTGCCTGGAACGTCATCTTGCCACACGGTGATCATGGGTTGGGCCTGTGATTCATCTACCGAGGAAATTGGTCATGCTCACTGACCATGGGCTGGCTATACAAATCAGTCCCTTCTATTCCTATTTGGTCTTACGGGAATGGCTATACAAAAGTCAAAAACTGTGATAATTGGAAGCAATGAATAAGATCTTACCTCAACCTGCTTGTTGGCTACAGAAAAATGCAGAGACGTTTACAAACTTATCGGGGTTACTCATTAAATCCAGCAACTGCTCCAACACATTCAAGCGCCTATGCTTGACACATAGGTGCAGAATGATCTCACCACGACCCACGAGTTGAAGAACCGTTCCAGGTTTCTCCGTAACCAGCTCTTTAATGGCATCCACTTGGCCTTTAATTGCTGCTAGATGGAGGGGAATCATTCCATCTGTATCGCGAGCAAGGCAGAGGCTAGAGCCAGAATCTTGATCCCGCAAAGCTTTCACGATTTCAAGGTGCCCTCTTGCTGCTGCCAAGTGAAGTGGAGTATGTCGTCGTGGGTCTTTGAGGCGAGCAAGTTCAGGCTTGCGGCTCAAGAGCAGTTTAACAAAATCAACGTGACCGGGGGTGTCTGCTATGTGCGAAGGAGACTCTCTGATGCAACTCACAACCACTCTATCAAGAATTTGATTGTCTTTTTCAAGCAAATCGGACAAGGACTCCGCATTCCCTTGCAATGCTGTTTCACGAAATTGTCTCTCCATTTTCATGCTTTCACGAATCCCTTCCTGTTAGACAGTGTATGCCCTTAGCTCCAATTAGATTGATGTACATTATGACATTTATTGTAAATGAATAAAGTATATATTTGATTCATGTTATTGTGGTGTGTTTTCGTGTAAATAAAGGGGCGAATCTGGGATTAAATTAGCAGATAGGATAGGGTCTTACCTTATCCACTCAGAGAATCCAGATCTGAAGACAGATTCAGATCTAGAAACCTCCTAATGAGATTAGGAGAGAGCTGATCTAATCTGCAGATAAGATAAGGGCTTATCCTTATCTCTTAAAGAGGACTCCTAATCCAAATACAAATTTGGAATTGAAAACTCCTAATTAAGAGCTCTCTTTAAGGCTATAAAAGGAGGAGGGGGCGAACCATTCATCCCATCCAGAAATCTCAGAGATACAAGATCTCAGAGCACAGAGAAAAGTCGAATACAGTGTGACTGCGCCTTCTCCCTGCGTTCTCCTCCTGCCACCACCATACTGCCAGTTCGTTCTCCAGTTTTCTAGGAGTGCTCAAGATCAGATCTTGATATCAGTCTTTAGAGAAAGACTGATTTGAAGTTGTGCTCATTGCCTCCATCGAATTCTTGTGAAGGGTTCGGTTCTTGGGAAGAACACTACTAATTCTGCTCCACCCTACACTATGTCATCTTCAGTGGGAGCAGCCTTTGGAGATTTTCTTTGGGCGTGAACACCTTCATTGGG